TATTGAGTTTGAGGCCAGTTTGGTCTACCTAAAGCAATTTCCAGGACAGCCAGTGCTACAAAGTGAAATTCTGTCTCAAAATTTAAAGACGGATATCATGAGTATAGCTACTTTTTATTGTTTAAGGATGTTATATCTAACTTCAAAGATAAATTTCCAACTGATGCAAACAGATGCAGAGACCCACAGCAAAATCTACAGAGAGCTAGGGGAATCCTGTGGAAGAGAGGAAGGAAGGATTGTAGGAGCCAGAGGGTGAAGGTCACCACAAGAAAACACAGAGTCAGCTAACCTGGCCTCATAGGGGCTCATAGACACTGAACTTACAACTAGGGAGCCTGCATGGACCTGACCTTGGCCCTCTGAACCTGTGTTACAATTGTGTAGCTTGATCTTGTGGGATTGCTAACAGTGGGAGCAGGGGTTGTCTCTAACTGTGGCCTGCCTTTGGAATCCTTTTGTCCTACTGGTTGCATTGTCTAGCATTAATAGGAGATGAGATGCCTAGTCTTAGTGCAGCTTGATACATACTATGGCTGCTGGATATCCATGGGAGGCCTGACCTTTTCTGAAGAGAAACAGGAGTGGATTAGGGGAGGGGAGGGGGGAAAGGCAGGAACTGAGACGCGAGGAGGGAGGGGAAACTGGTCTGGATCTAAAATAAAAAAATAAATTTCCTAGAATAACATTTCAAACACTTGAATATTAATATTAAATATTTCCAAGTTTTGTTTTCATATTCATGATCAAATATGAACAGTTTAATAACTTGTCTTTTAAAATTTTGAGCCAGGAGGCCTTGGTTTGCATCTTTAATCCCAGCAGTGGAGAGGCAGAGGGAAGTGGATCTCTGAGGCCAACCCGGAACACAGAGCAAGTTCTAGGACACCCAGGGCTACACCGAGATACCCTGGCTCTAAAAGACAAAAAGCAAAGCAAAACAAATCATTTTTCCAGAGAAGCTTAACAAAAATGTGATTATAAATGTGAAACTTTAAACAAAGTTTTGGACTTAGTAGGTTAAACTCATTGTAGTTGACACTGCTCTCGATGAAGCATTTGGGACAACTCCTTAAATTCTATTTTTCTCATATAATTTACTCTCATCTTACAGTGAATGTCCTCCAACTTAAAAAAAGAGACATGTATAAGTTGTCCTTTTCTAAACTTGTGTAGCTTATATAGAAAGAAATTAGTCTTTCACTGTTAGTGCATAATTAGATTAAGAGAACGGTTTCATTCCTTTTTGTGTGTGTGGTTCTGGGATCCTTCTAATGTCTTGTCTTCCTCTTGTACTGGAGGGAATCTCTCAGGTCATCCATTACATAAAGGCCAGGCTCCTTTCATCGCTAAGAATTGAGCAAGACACATGGTGGTACTAGTAGTTAAAGTCTAGACTTATTAGAAGTAAAATAAAAGCATAAACTCTGCTGCACAGAACAGGAGTGGCCTGAATAAGTGAGTGCATGGCTCAAGAACCCCATTTGAGGTGTCCAGGTGCTTTGTATTACAAAAGAGAAAAGTAAGGTTCTTTAGAAGGGTGGACTCTTGGCTGCCTGTTCTTGTGATTAGTGTGCTTTGCTAGGAGGCTTTTGTGCAATCCGTAGGGCGATCAAAGGGGTGCTTTCTTTTCAGTTATTGTAATCTTACAATTCATGGTCATGTGTGGCTGGTCCTATTTTCCTGCCTCATTTTCCACGGGGCTATTTTTCCAACATGAAATAGGAATTTTAAATATTAATCAAGTTTCTAAGGAGTTGTTTATGTTTCAGATTTTTCTGAGAGTTCAGAGATGAAGTAAGTACTTCAGAGTGTTCTCTGTGTACTTAATTCACATAGCATGCTTTGCCTTCTAAGGTATATTCTCTTTTTTCACTGTGCCTGTTCTTCATATATATAAAGTACATGCTTACTCCCCTATTTATCAACAGCCATGGCATATGAGCAGTCCACGTCTTTGAAAATGCTCCTTTCTTCAGCAAGCCCACCTTCCTCTTTTCCTCTACTGAGCTGACTTAAATGACAACTTTTTAAAAAGCTGTTTACTATGTCCCTACCACACCCTTCCTGTGATATTGCCCCCAGGTAAGTAAGAAGGTCTTTCCCAAACAAACCCCCAGACAGTTGTGTTGTGTGCTGGAGACATTCCTCTATGGAGTAAGAGTGCGTTGTAGGCATTGTCTGTCACTGTCTTGTTCAGTAGTATGCCTTACTGCAAGAATGGAGCTATGTTAATGATAATGCCACCATGTAAATGGCCAGTTGTTATCTGGGCAGCCAAACACTCAGTCTCTTAAATCTCCAAACCATCCAAAATAGGAATAGGGAGTAATTAAATGAAGGGACAAATATTATGTAATATAGTATACTGGTTCAAGATATAGGTGAAAGGATCTAGGCAGGATTAGCTTACTGCCAAATATCCCTGAGGTCAGGAACCTAATAACACGGACGTCAGCCAAGTCCCATTAAAATCGATGTGTGCTTTTGATTTCATTCCAATGTCTAGATCACAGTCTGATACATAATATATAGTTATTAAGAATTTATTTAAGATTGAGCCAGTTCACTCCTATAATCTTAATTACAAAGTGGAGGCAAACCCGTAAGACCATGGGGAGTGCCTACTAGAAATAAAAGGCACATTCATAATCAGGCTCACTCAGGGCCAGGAGCATATGGTAAAATATTGACTCTTAGGATAGTGTTAGAGCCCACCAATCACAAGATGGCAGTCGCCTAGGTACATGCTGTTAAGAAAAACCAAGGAATCTCATGGGGTAGACCAGTGGGATTCTGGGAACAGTCTCCAGCTTAATGAAGCAACTTCCCTCCCTTCATAGTATTTGGATTTGCTCCAATTCTTGTCTGTAGATAGGAAGTACCTACCTCTCTCACAAAGAGGATCATGGGAAATGATGCCATACCCCATGAAGCAATGTTTTTGTTTCAAAAAACACCACCAAGTAAACAACTAATAATATACAGAACAACTTTGTTCCTAGAGACTGAACAGCAAATTAACCACAGGTAAACAGTATTGATGCCTGACAACAGCTTTATTGAAGGTATTAATGTGCAGTCTGCCCCAACTGCCAGGCACTGCTGAGAGTCTACAGGATAAACAACAACCTTGTGTATATGGCTTTGGCATTCTAACATGGGAGAATGGGTTCTACTAGAAAAAAATATTAAATTTAATAAAGTGAGTAGGTAATGGAAAATGAAAAATGTCATGGAAATAGTAAACACTGTATACAGCAGAAGGGTACTCCGAATTGAAGGCATCTGTGACTTCAAATTTTACACATTCACTTGCTGGTCTCCCTCTGCATGTTTCTCAAGGGACAAATCAGGCCACTAGCATCATTCCTGACCTTGGACAAAACCAGGATTTAACCTGATGTGCAGTGTTGTTTCTTTGCTGTAGACAAAAAACAGTTTGGGGATGTCTTGGAATAGATCAGGCACCTTCCTAAAGTGATTCCATACTTTCAACAAAATTACCAGGGCATTTCCAATAAAACAATGTATTTAACATGTATTTGGGCTTACTATTTCTATTACTAGTCCACAAACCAGGCCCTTCACTACCCATACAAGTAACACTGAAGAAGGAACACAGGGATTTGGTTCCTACAGTACTTGTACTGGGGTCATTTTAACTGCTCTCCAGAAATAGTTGGGTTGAATGCTCTGCACAGCGACCACATTGACAACGTCATCTACTTGTGGCACATATCCAGAAGGAAGTTTAAGAGAATCCAAGGTGAAAAAGATGGTGTCTTCCAACATCCCAGTTCTTCCATCTGTTTTGGTAACTCGGACCTGTGTTTTTTTAAAAAAAATGGCAGCAATGAGTAGAAAATCATAATCCATGGTCATAGACTCTGCCCTTCTCTCTGACCCTAAGCAGCAGACTCCTGCATTCCATCCCTGATTCCCACCCGGCTTTCCATGTTGGCTCGGTGTTGTATAAACATCACCCACCCCCACCCCTACTTAGGTCCAACCTCACAGCTATCAAAGCAGTCTCTGAGGATGAGCACTAGGTTTCCACTGAGAGAATTCTGTTCTAAATTATTACCCACAATGGGTGTGAACTTGTAGTTAAGGCTGATTGCTTAAAAAGAAAGGAGTGAGAAAGGGATGTGTTGTTAACCTTCTCTACTTCCTCAGGTACCTTAGAAGCACATTCCTTCATTTTTCCGATGGTGCAAAACAAATGCCAGCCAGCTCGTTTTCAGTTTTTACTACCCATAGCATACCCACATGCTACTGAAGTGACACTCCACCCGTTTTTCTTAACAATTTCAAGAAACTTGATTTTTTTTTTTTGGTTTTAGAACATTCTAATGCCTCCCAGATAAACTACACAAAGGTCAATTTTATTATAGATTACATTAGCCTCATCTTTTCCTTTCAGAATTACAGTATTTTTAATTCACTTTACACCACTCCTCCTTGTCTCACCCTCTCAAATCTCTCCCCCATTTCCTCCCCCCTTGACTATCACCCCACCCTGGGACATCCAGTACCAGCAGGACCAGGGACATCCTTTCCCACTGAGGCCTAACCAGACAGTCTAGGTATGGGGAAGGGGGTCCAATGGCAAGGAACAGAGAAGACAGTCCCTGCTCCACGTGTAAGGGGACCCATGTGAATACCAAGCTGCACATCTGCTACAAATGTGTGGGGGCCTAGGTCCAGGGCATCCATGCTCTTTGGTTGGTAGTTCAGACTCTGTGAGCCCCCATGGGCCCGTGTTAGTTTTTTGCTCACTTCTCTCCCCAACTCTTCCACCACACTCCCCTGGCTCTGCCTGATGTTTGGCGGTGGGTCTCTGCATATGCCTCCGTCCACTTACATGGCAAAACATTTATTTTTGGTTGCCTAACACTTGTAATATAACCCTGAATAGCAAAAAACAAAACAAAACAAAACAAATCACTAAATGAAAGATAAGCAGAAACAAAAGACAAGTGCAGCACACAAAAACTACCTTGTTTATGTGACAATGGTTCAGAGGCTTCACCAAGGTGGCCCTTCTGCTCTGTGTGCCTTGCTCATCAGAAAACTCAATTTCCACCAGGTCACCATTATAAGGTTGAAAATCTGTAACAGTCATAGAAGAAACTCAAGTTAGAAGAGGCAATGTGACGTTTTACCACTTTCTGGAATGCTAGCCCTGACACAGTTTCCGTCACACATAAAGTACATTTAGAACCCTAGGGTTGGAGAGATGGCTCAGAGAGTTTTATTGCTGTTTGCAAAGAACTCGGATTCACCTCCCAGTGTTGCCAGGCACCTCTAGCTTATCTGTGGAGTCCTCTGATCTCTGCGGGTACCCGCATACATGTGGCATACGCTTGCACAAAAGCATGCATACACATAAATAGAGGCACTGTTTTTGTAAAAGATGAGGGCTGGAGAGGGGGTTCTTCAGCTAAAGATACTTGCTGTTCTTGGAGCTCATCTGGGTTCAGAATTTCCGCACCCACATGGAGGCTACAGATGCCTATAACTTCCAGCTCCAGGGCCTCTGTAGGCATGCGAGTAGTGCCATACACATACATGCAGGCAAACCTCTCTCACATACACAGACCATTTAAAAACGATAAAAGTCTTTTTTTAAAAAAAAGTATCTGGAACAGTCTGAGGCAGTAAAATAACCTGCACAATGAACAGAAAGGAAATAACATATTCATTACTCAGTATAGGGCAAAGCATGATTTTTTTTTCTTCTTTCCATTCTTTGAGTTTCTCATTGAAGAAACTATTGAGGCTGTAGCTTAGTTAGCGTGGACAAGAACCAGGATTCTATTTTGAGCGACACAAAGATAATAAAAATAGCAATGAAGAACTGTTTGCCATTTTCACTAGGTTTCATAGTATTCACTTAATAGCATTTATTCTGACAATTATAGATGTGACTGGCTGAGGCCTTTAAGACTGGTCCCTAGTGCTGGGGAACAGCAACACCTTCTTTATTAGCCACTGTCTTTTCTTACCCTAGAACAGCCTGCTACTATGACTAACCCTATTTCACAGAAGGAAGCCTCTCCGCCTATGCCTTGGGTCCTATCCTCTATTTATAGCTCAGGGACCTGACTCCATCTCTTCTTCCTGCTCTCTTCAGAACCTTTAGTCATATCCTTTGCACTACGAACATGTCCAAGTCCTTTCCACTCTGAGAAGAATATTCTAGCATCCTTCCTGTTGTTGACAACTTCCTGTTGGCATAGTGATAGGCCAATAAACTGTCTTTTGGAACTTAACAATCACAGGGACACTTTCCTCTGAAAACAGAATTTCTGAGGGAAAATGTCATAATGTCTGAGACACCACCAAGCAGTCATGGTTGGAGAGTTCCTAAGATAACAAGCAATATCAAGTTTAAGTTTTGACATCCAAGAAAACTAAACTAGAAAGCAGTTTTGTGTAGCTGGGACAATGTCATTCTTTTTGTCCCAGTTAAATGACACCTGACTAAGCTACAGCTACAGGAAGTCCCTGTTTCATGGTGGGGGAGCAGGGTGTTATAACAAAGATGTCAAGTTAACATTTCATTAGGTTTATATTTTATGAGATTTACATTTCATTATGCATAAAACTTACTTTTCATTTTGTCTTGGTTCTCCAATTTGGTTATTAAAAGCACAAAGTGGCTGGGTCTAAAGTCCAGCTTGAACAGTACACAGCCCAGTCAGCCTTCTCTGTTTCTCCCTAGCACTGCTTCTACCCAATGTTCTTCCCACCAGCCTAGTTTAAAGGATTCACATGTCTGTCTCTCCTGATGACACTATGAACTCTTAATAAGCAAAGCTTAATGAAGCCTTCTATATTTTGTCCTCTGCCTTCAATATCTAGTACTCTCTTAAACCAAATTAAAGTCCAACAGACTCTTCAGATAAACATTTCATTGCTTTAGATATAGAACAATAAAATGTTATATCAGATAAATACAAATAGAATTCAACACTGAGTACATATATGACTTTTCAGGTTATTTCCAGGCCTTACTTTAAAGCCTTTGAAGTATTATGAAATAGTATCTTTTCATTTGTGTAATGCTGTTAGAATAGAAATTCAATACCTATATAAATAAAAAATGGTACAAATATTAGTGTGCCCAAACAAATGAAGATGTAACAAATGATAGCATGAGACTTTTCTGTCCCTTGCTACAAACTATTTTCAAACTCCAGTGGTCCACTTCACATATTGAAGCGAAGATAAAAAGTACAGAGTACAGGACTGGGAATGTAGCTTGGTGATCGAGCCCTTGCCTAGCCAGCACAAGCCTGAGCCTGACGCATGCCAACATCCAAGTATATTGCACTAGTAATTGCGATACGAAAATCCTCTTATCAAATAAACGTGTTTCAAATTCAACCCTGAAGGTAAAGTCTACACCCAATTGGTAATATTTCAAATGGGTGAGACCTAATTTTACATTGAAAAATGTAAGTCGTACCTTTACAAACAATGTCTAGAGAGAAGGTCAACTCGTGATCATTGTTGCCAGCCTCAGCCACTAGAGAGGTCATACAGCCAAGTAAAACTCTCATGGGAGATCCTGATGGTTCTTCACCACGGTCATCGAAGAAAGTATCCACCTGTATATCAAACAAACTAACTTAAAAATGGTTCTTCAAACAATCCAAAGCTAAAAATAAAAAATACGAAAAAGCTGACCCCCCCAAATAGTTCAAATAATGATCATAGACAACTGACACATAAATTGGCACGCACTAATGAAATAATGCTTGGGCTTCATGTCATTTACTGTGGTTCTAGAGTAAATTAGGAGACTTGAGAATACAGAGGGTTACCACATATATTGATTATAACTGATAAGCCAGCATTAACACTCTATAAAATCCATAGTTTACAGCAGGGCTCAGGCTTTGTGTTGTACAATCATAAATTTAAAAAATTTCTTCTAAAAACATTATTTGCATGTATTCCAGACTTAATACACTGTTAGTATTTATGTAAAAAAGATATATAGCTTCTACTTATCAGTAATTAGACATCAAAAGGGAGTAAAAGATAATTCAAAGTAAGTCATGATATGTGATAAAAAAAATTTAAAAATTGATCCCTGGATTTCCAAAGCAAAAGAGAATTAAGACAAAGAATATTAAGAGTACAGAAAAGGTTTTCAGGAAGTGATTTTTGACCTGCACTGTAAAAGAAAAGATTATTTGGTAAGTTGAGCTGGAATCTATATTTGTCTCTATGTGTGTTTGTATATCTACATGTGTATGTGTGTGAGAGTCACTGAACTAGGAAAGGAATCATGCGACAGGAGGAAGAGTGCTTAAGAGAACAGGGAAAAACAGGCTAATAGAATTCATGTGACATAAAAGCAGAAAGAGGGAGGGGAGGAAGGTAAGGGGCACACAGTGAACAATAGGGAGGCAGTGGGGACAGGGGCAAATAAGGGCAAAGCATAATGGCCGTAAGCATGAAAATGGCATAATGAAACCCATTACTTTGTATTCGAACTTTAAAACTCATTTTAGATTTTGTGTATGAGTGTTTTGCCTGCAAGTATGTATATGTGCCATTGATGCTAAAATTTCTTCCCATGGAGAGAGGTGAACAACATCTATCTCCCCTTTCTCCTAAGATCCCAATGACAGACAGACAGGATTCCACCGGAGTTCACTCTCAGGAACCAATGAGTTTCTTAGGCTTCTTTCCAGAGCATAGGTGAAGGGTTACTTATGGAGCTGTGGGGACTCCTTCCCCAGCCCGCCACATCTGAAAAGCCATACCTAGCAGAGAAAAGTGTTTCCTGTGGCTGCACAGACAAAACTATTTCCCCCACCCCAAAACAGTCTTCCCTGGCCTACATATTGACTCTAGCCTCTTCCCCAGGCCATATGCAGAGCTGATTGTACAGAGCACTTGGATATTTAGGTAGAAGCAGGAGGGTGACTGAACAGGTAACAAACCCAACTGGAATGATCTTTTGAAAGGGGGCATAGCTAAATGCACCAAATACCAGTTGCTTGACTTGACATGGACCTGCCCAGTGCCTTCAGAGATCAAAAGCAGAGACCTGAAGAAGTTACCAGATCCCCTGGATCTGGAGTTACAGATAGTTGTGAGAAACCATGTGGGGACTGAGGATCAAACCTTGGTCCTCTGCAAAAACAGCAAGTGTTCTTAACTGCTGAGCCATTTTTCCAGTCCCCAAGCTAATTTAAGAAGACTCAACAATAGCAACAAGAGAAGTAGTAGTAGTAGCAGCAGCAGCAACAACAACAGCAATAAAAACTAAAAATCAGGAAAAGGGAGAAACGGAGAAATTGGGGATGGAGTTGGGCAGAGGGCTAGGGAGACAGCAAGGAAACAAAAGAAAGGTAACTAATCTAATGCTAAGATTCCAGAGTAGAGAGCCAGGCAGTGGTGGCACATGCCTTTAATCCCAGCACTTGGGAGGTAGAAGCAGGCGGATTTCTGAGTTCGAGGCCAGCCTGGTCTACAGAGTGAGTTCCAGGACATCCAGGGCTACAGAGAGAAACCCTGTCTTGAAAAACAAAACAGAACAAACAAACAAACAACGACAACAACAACAAAGCCAAGATTCCAGAGTAGAGCATCTGAGGAGACAAAAGAATGTCGAGATAAGTGTGAGAAAAGAAATCTAATGGCCATATGCCACCTTAAATATGATCAGTCTCATCTGATCCTGGAAGCTAAGCAGGGTTAGGTCTAGTTCACTCTGGGATGAAAGAAAATAACCAAGAGCTGTAGGGTCTAAATATCACAGTTAATTTAGAACTTTATCAAAAATAATAATAAAGCATCTACATTTTTATTTCTTAGAATTATAGTCATCTTTATCTTATGTTTTGTTTTTCTCATTACAAAAATAACACATGTTCAGCATATAAAATGTAAAAAAGACAGAAAAGCAAGAAAATTACATATAATTCAGATATCCATTCCCTGGTCAATAACCGCTGGCCATGTTCTCAAGAAGTGACCAAGATAACAACATCTTGACCTGATCTTACCCTGACTCCATTTTGTATCTGTTCAGGCAGTTTTCATCCCTAATTTCATGAATAGTCACATCTGCCTTGGCCACACATTAGAGGCTTTTCAGGGCCCTGACCATGGCCTAGATGTATAATCTAAGTACCTATTGAAGACATAACCAAAACTAATCTAATGGTTTTCTCCTGACCTATATCTGACAATGTCATTGCAGTTTTTTGCTTTTATAAACTCTGTACCTCTGAACTTCAGTGCCAACAGTTCCATGTAGCAATAACCTGCTCTCCATTGTCAGCTAATAAAGGACTCACATTTGGTTTTATATGGTAGTAGTCTGTAACTTTCTTCCATAGACTTGTTCCAGATAACTTACCTATACACCCTTTTAAAGGAAAGTGTAATACCACACATGTATAATAAATACATTAAAAAATGGGCACAAATAAACCAGTTTATTTTAACTTTTTAAAGGATATCATGGCATCCTATGAAAAGGAAGTGCCGTTAATTTAGGGGCACTATTCCACAGTTGGGCATGCAACGTATAATCTAATACACTACATTATTTCCCAATATATACATGTTGGATCAGGAGCAGAATTTCACGCCCAAAAGTTTCCAGTGAGAGTTCCCACAGCTGCTGGCCTATGGTATGAGACCAGAGGCCCTGAGCTCCATTGTTCTTTGCCTCGGCTTAGGTCCTACTCTAATATCTGCTGTGGCTCCTGAAACCTGCAGAGCCCCTGGGTGCCCTGATGGGAGCAATGACCTGCTGAAGGGAAGAGTTAAAAGAAACAGTCCTGTTGGGGGGCTTCCAAGGAGGCTGTGCTGAGGCTCGTAAAGTCAGCCAGGCAGGGCCAGCAGTCCAGAATCTCAAGGAAGCCTGTGCAACCAGGGACAGTGGCAGAGGAGCCTTTGTTAGCTTGTAAACTTGGCGGCCTTGCTCTTCTTACCAGGTCCTCAGAAAGAAGAAAAGGACACCATTGCACATTGTCCTGCTTTTTCTCACTCATCCCTGCCCCCTCTAACTCCTAGCCTTAGGCTTCACTGAGAGCTGAAGCTGTTGTCTCCTCCTGGGGCAACTGTCTTTGCTGCAGATTGGCCAGAATGCACCCGGCTGGGCTTGTCCTGCCTCTGCGAAGATTTCCCTCGGGGCATTGAGGCTGCTTGCCTGAAGTTGTCTCTGAACTGACTTGGTCTGTGGAACATTCTGTGTTTGGACTGTTTAGAGAGCTTCATCAGTTTTCTTGTGTATCTATTTTTAATTTATTTACTTATTCTTCTCTTATAAGATACAGCATCCCTCCACTCTTCCCAGTCTCCCTCACCCTGCCCCTTTGTGTCTAGTCTTATTGTAAATGACTTTGTTTGCTTGTTTGTTTGTTTGTTTGTTTGTTTTTCTGAGGCAGGGTCTCTCTGTGTAGCCCAGACTGTCCTGAAACTCTCTCTGTAGTCCAGGCTGATCTCCCACTCACAGAGATCCTCCTGCTTCTGTTTCCCGAGTGCTGTGTAAATGACTCTTACGTAGCTATTTGCTCTGAATTGCAAGGCCCATTTCGCAAGTCGTCACCGATGCTGGGGGACACTTTTTGGTGACAGAGCTGCCTTTGAGTCACCTGTGATCCTATGACTAATCTGCCTGTATGACTCCAGTAAGCCCACTACATGTCCAAGTTAGACTTGGCTAGAGTCATTTCTTTGGTCCATCTCTGGTGTTCTATCTGGAATGAGTAGACTTTTGTTCCTACATCCCTAGGAAAAAGTAAGGGTGACTCGATCCATGGTTTTTACTGTGACTGTCTAGAAGGAGGAAGTGTTGGTTTACCCTACTCTTGTAAAATGCCTGTCTTGGAGGAAGCCGTGGCGGGAGGTGTTCGTACCTGTACTTGCAGAACTCAGGCCCACATTGGGATTTTCTCCAATTGGTCTCCACCTTACCTTTGAGATAGGCTCTCTCACCAAACCAGAATTCCATAACTGGCTAGACTGGCTGGCCAGCAAGCCTCAGGAACTCCTCTGTCCCTGCTTCTCCAGCACTGCGATTAAAGGTCAGGCTGCAAGTGGGTGCGGGGCCCAGGCCATTGTGTTTATGCAGCAAGCACTTCACAGGCTGAGTCACTTCCCTGAACCTCCTTACTCTCCTGAAAGTTGATGGCACTTTAGCAAGCCTCTAAACAACGAAAGGCTTTTTCATCCTCCAGATGTAGCTACAGGCATAACCCGTAAGAAGTAACTGAAATTGTAGTGATCCTGATTTATGGGGCTTATTAATTAAATTTGGTTTCGGGGAAGGAAATGGATGAGAATTTCATGCATTATGAATTCATTTGCACGTTTTCAATTTGGAAGACTTTAGACTCTCCATCTATTATTTAATCTCCATCGCCAGCTGCTAAAACCGATTTCATGATTATTTATTCACTCAGTTTTATCCACAAATCAAGTACCAGGCTCACATCTGTCTACCACCACTGAGTAGATATGTGGATGATCCACTGTGCCCTTTGACCTCAGTGCTCTGTCTTCACACTAATAAACAGCCATAGTACATGTGGAAACCTAACTAGCTTTCCTTCTCCTCCATTTCCTCCTCCTCCATTTCATCTTCCTCCTCTTCCTCTGCCTCTTCTTCCTCCTCCTCCCTCCTCTTCCTCCCTCCCCCCCCTCCTCCTCCTCCTCCTCTCCCCTCCTCTCTCTGTCTCTTCAAGCTCATGGTATGAGGGTTTTGAGACAGGGTTTCTTCATGTAGCCTTGGCTGTCCTGGAACTAGCTCTGTAAAGCAGGCTTGCCTCGAACTCACAGAGATCTGCCTACCTCTGCATCTCCAGTGCCAGGATTAATGGAGTGTGCCACCACTGTCTGAACTAGCTTTTCACATCTTAGATAGCTTAAAATCTCAGAGATTGACAATATTTCCACTCTTGCTAGCCCTGGGAAATAAGGAGTCTCACATTCTGCTCCTGCTGGTGTCAACTAGTACAGCAATAATAATAATAACCTTCATTTGCAAGTATCGATCAAAATGATAAATATCTAACTGGGGTGCTAGATTCAGACTCTGTAAATATAAAAAAGTTTTAAACTGGGAAAGTCCATCGTAAGTAAATTATACCTCACTAAAGTTATTTTAAAAAATAATTAAGGTACATTGTTCATCTAGTAATTAACAAATAACACAGACCTATTATTTGCATTATAAAAGGAAGTTACAGGATAATATAAACTCTAATAATTATTATTAAATACTGAGGGATAGATCATGCAATTTGCACTTTTCTAAATACATACTACTACAAACTAGAACAGATGACCCATGAAATCCCTTAAAGCAGACTTCAGCGTCCATCCACTGCAACATGTCTATTAAAGAGGGGCTGAAAACTAGAAGCCACAGTGAAGGAATTCAGAAACAGAGAGAATATCCAGGATATAAAAGTCTTACTGTGACTGCGTTCAGTCCACCAGTGCTTTGTTCTTCCACAGCTGCAGCAAGTTTTGGTTCAACTTTCAGAGGGTTGTTGTCAGTCACGATGTCAGCACTGAAGGGGATGTGCTCAGTGATCCAATTATAGTTACTAGAGGACCCTGTCACAACTAGCTGTTTGTCTTGTAATGTGGTATCATCTAAAAGATGAGTAAAGACACATTCATATAAATTATTGTCAAGTGCAGACACACACTAAAAATAAACCCTATCAGAGAAGCTGTGGTAAATAATCTTCTAAGTCTAGAAATAAAGTAACTTTGATTTGAGATAGGAATTAGGTTGCTGAGCAATGATTAAGCATGCAGGACTCTGGAGGGAGAATGACAAGGTTTAAATCAGTGTGTGTGTGTGTGTGTGTGTGTGTGTGTGTGTGTGGTCTTCTGTTTGTTCAATCTGGGTGTGTCAGGGTATGAGTTCTGCTGAGCCACAAACGAGCTTGCGCATTCTCTTTGCCGTCTGCCCAATTTATTTGGCTCTAGCACAGACAAAGTAATGCCAGAGCTTCTTTTGTTAGAACAGAGATAACCCTTCACCCCAGCCACATTTTACATCATTTACTGGCCTCTCAGTAACAAACCTTCAAAACGACCCACTGTACAGGCAATCAGTGGCAGACTCCGGAGCATGTGTCTAGGAATACAAAGTGAGTGAGTAAACTTTGATTCCTATCTTCTTACTGGTCATAGATCTGTATCTATGAATTTATTTGTTTGGCTTCTGATATAAGTTGGTCTTAAAGATCATCTATAAGCTAACTTATTAATAATTTGGTCACCAATGTAGGAGTGTTCAGAAGTGAAACCTTTGGATTAGGCAGGCTCTACACTCATTAGCTGAGTAATCTATTTATGAATTTGTATAGCTTCATGAATTTGGGACTGAAGGCCTTTATTATAAAAGTTGATCTTTCTCTCTCTCCCCCTTCCTGACTGTCATGAGTTGAACAGTTCTGGTCCACTACATTGTCCCCACCAGGATGTTCTGTCAGAATCCCAGAAACACAGTCAAGTGATCATTAATTGAACTCTTGGACAATATAAGCCACAAGAAACCCTTCTTTTAAGTTAACTTGTCTCAGGCCTTTTATCACAATAACAGAAAGCTGGTTCATAGGCAGGTACAAACATGTGCTCAGTTAAGAAACAAAAACGGTAGGCTAGCAAAATGGCTCATTGTGTAGATGTACTTGTTCCCAAGCCTGATAACTTGAATCTAATCCCATGATCCTGTAAAATGGTAGAATTGATTCCTGACGTGTGCTGTCGCACAGCTGTACACACACATGCATCAAAACAAATAGATAATTCTTAAGATAAAGTAATTAAGAGAAACTACTACTGTAAATACAGAATGGAATCTTCCTGTAACCTATGGTAAACTAAAACATGTGAGTTGATGAAAACCTGGCTTAACTGGGAGACCTGGTCTTAATTTTTTAAAAGTATGTAGATAAGTGCAAAAATAGGGCACAGACACCTCCTCTCTCCCACCCCCACCCTCTACCCTTTCTCTGATTTCCTACCTCTGACTTCTTTGTTTAAAAACTATCTTGTTATTCATTAAGAATTTCCTACAATATATCTTTATCCAACCTACCCTACCTGTTTCAGTTCTTCCCAGATCTACCTCACCTCCCTAGTCACCCAACTTACTGGTCTCTCCCTGTTTTGCTTTTTAGCCCGTCAAGTCCAATTTGTGTCTCCCCAATACTTTTGGGTCTAAAGCCTGTCCTGGAGGGTGGTCAACCTAGCAGTGGTGACATCCTTAAAGAAAACTGGTTCTCCCTTTCGTAGCAGCTATCAATAGCCAGTAGCTCCTCACCCCTCACTCTCTCTTGCTTTCTTTGCCTTTTGCCATACTTTGTTCTTTTTATTTTAAATAATTTTTTAAAGAAAAATCGTGGATGTGTACACGCGCACACCCATATGCACGTGTACACACACGCATGCGTGTGTGCGTTCGCAAGCGTGAACATGTGTGCATGCTTGCTGCTCCTGAGTGTATGTATGTGAACCACACGCCCTCAGAGGACAGAAGAATACTTCTGAGACCCAGGAACTAGAGTTATTGGGCAGTTATGAGCAACAACGCGGCGTTGGAAACTGAACCCCGGTCATCTAAGAACAGTAAGTGCTCTAAACTGCTGAGTTATCTCTGTAGCCCCCATTATTTTAAAGCCTTTGTCATTCCTTTGGGAAGGGGAGTGCCGGAGTGAGTCCATGCAAGACTATTCGGCAGGTGGCATACCAGGGCGCGGGGCAAGGAACTGGCGATGCCCTACCCTGGAGATAAAATGGCGCTGGTCTGGCCAGGTACAGGTTTTCTAAGTTCCTCAGACTCTGGACCAGAGATAGAACACACCTCTAAGAGAACGTCTCTTTGGACAAAGAATTAGTGCAGTACCTTCCAAGAGCCTCTGCTGCTCTTCTCTCGCCTCCTTTGGGTCCGCTTTCCTTTGAAAGAGGGCGCGAAGTCTGGGAATTAGCCGGTGCATAGTTCGTTGTCTGAGCAAGCTTGGACACCAGGTGGTACCAGGAATAAGGCTTCCTTCTATCTAGTTCTCTGTCTCCCAGGAGAGCCCTAATCACAGCAACTCTCACAGACGCAATTCGACTTCCGTTCTCTGTACAGCTTCTCTAGTCTAAGACGCCCACGGGGGAGGGAGGGCAGAACTGGCACGTGTGGAGTGCCAGGGTATCTGCTCAACCAGCCAATAGGAGAGTAGTTTACTCAAGGAAAGCTACTGACCTATGACAGACAGGGAGGATGAACTTTACATGCTTGCCCCATCACGTAGCGCTGAAACCCAGTACTCAATCTAAAATGGCCTCCACCCATACACTTTTATAGGTTCGGGTTTTTATTGTTGTTGTCATTGTTTCGTTGGTAAGATTTTTTTTTTTTTCTTTCTGTGATTTTTGAGACAGGACTTCATTCTAACCTAAGTTGCCTCAAACTCATGACAATCTCCTGTCTCCGTTTCCTGAGTACTGGGATTATAGGCATGCATTATATCACATCCTACTGGACCGTTTCTACTAGAGGAAAAACACAGGAAACAGACATCGCTATGTGTTTACAGCAAGAGATTATTGCTTTAAAATCTTAAAAAACAAGCCATGGTTTCCTGACTAGAACTCCAGAAGCTCTGGAAACAACAGCAAGAATGAGGAAATCAGTAGATGACTGGGTTAACAAAAGCTAGTGTGTGCCTCTCTCCTGCAGCCAAGCAATGTGCTGAAAGGGTGGGCCCAGCTTCTGCAGTCAGGAACAAGTAGGAGGTCAAAAAGGTGAAGAATAGGCTTTTAGAGACTTAAAAAAAAGTAACAAAAAAAAGAACAACAAGAACAAAAAAACCCTCTAAGAACTGGCATTGGACAGGACATGCAGCTCAAAAAAAGATCTTATCTGCTTTGTCAGACGGCCCTGCTACAACCAGCTAGAATGGCAAAAGGCTCTGTTCCATAAGTGGCCAAAAAAAGAAAAAGAAAAAAAAAACAACAACCCATGCCTCTTGTGAATAACCAGACCACCAAATGGCAACCCAGCAGCTCAAGCTCACCCACAAGTACATGTCAGCTCACAAATGACCACCATACGGCTGATGGGCTTCCTGTCTTGCTTCTGTTACAAGATGGGGCTATCCTGTTGCATCAACAAGGAAACACCAGGACAGAGAAGCTGGTCTACAGGAGGACACGGACCAGCACTCTCTTAACACAGGTTAAATTCGTCTTTACAAAGGTGTTCTGGTTAATCTGGTAGAAGTTCTGAGAATGGATGACAAGTAATGCAGGGAGATTTGCCATCCTGGGTCCCAAATCTGTGGCTCACAGTGCTAAGATGCAGAAGACTGAGGCTAAGGAACTTACTGCTAAACAGACCTAAATGTACATCGATGATTTTGTTGTGTGTGTATGTGTAGTGTGGGTGTGTTCAAGACAAGGTTTCTCTGTGTAGTCCTGGCTGGCCTGGAACTCGAACTGTAGACTAGGATGGCCTTGAACTCAGAGATCTAACTGCCTTTGCCTCCTGAATACTGGGACTGAAGTCCTGCATCATCACTGCCTGGCCTGAATTTCCTGTACATAAGTATAATTTAAAAAAAAATCATTCCAAAAATGATGTGTGTCTAACAATGGAATATTAGCCATAAAAATTAATAAAACATGAGGCAGTGGTGGTGCACACCTTTAATCCCAGCACTTGGGAGGCAGAGGCAGGCAGATCTCTGAGTTAAAGGCCAGTCTGGTTTACAGAGTGAGTTCCAGGACAGCCAGGACTACATAGAGAAACCCTATCACAAGAAACAAAACAAAACAAAAAAGTAAAAAATAAAAAAGGAGGAGGAAGAAGAATAAAATCTGAACTACAGTGAAGTGCTACATCATATCTACTTAAATGTTCAATTTTTTAAAAAGACAAGCATTAGCAAGTGTTGGAAAGGGTATAAAACATTGTCAAATGGCAAAGCAGCTAAAACACCCTCTCCCCTAGGCTGGACTGTTCCTCAGAAAGCTAAAAGCATAATGACCGCATGCCCCGTGATTTCACTGCTAGACATATTTCCAAGAGAATGAGACTAGATGACCATGTATTCATACATTTACAAACAAACTGAACTTTGAACATTTTGTTCTACGTGAAAGAAGTCAGTCACAAATACCAAATACTAAATCAGGCATGATGGATCATTCCTGTTGTCCCAGTACTCAAGAGGTGGAGACAGAAAGATTGCTGATAAAAGATTGCTGAGTGCCTCAGGCTAGCCTGCAATATATGACGTAGTGCACAGAGAGGGAGGGAGAGACAGAGACAGATGTTTTTCTTCTTTTCTTTCTTAGTAACTTACTTGCTTACTTTTTTCTTCTTTCCTTTCTTCCTTCCTTTCTTTCTTTCTTTCTTTCTTTCTTTCTTTCTTTCTTTCTTTCTTTCTCTCTTTCTTTAGAGGATCTCACTTTGTAGGCTGGATATGGCAATCCTCCTTCATCACCCTCCCAGTACTGAGACAACAGAAGTAAGCTACCTCGTCCAGCTTCAGTTCTATGGTTTAAAAAGATGAACTTTGCACTATGAGAATCATATGGTGTCTTAGTCACTGTTCTATTACTGTTAAGAGACACCATGACCAAGACATCTTTTAGAAAAGGGATCACTTAATAGGGGCTGGCTTACAGTTTCAGAGGTTTAGTCCATTATTATGGCAGGGAGCATGGCAGCAGGCAGACATGGATTCCTGGAGAAGTTGTTGAGAGAGTGACCTCTCAAATGTGCATGCACATGAGCACAATCATAGAATTAAAAGTATCTAAGGAAACCTTAAAATAACAAAAATAAAACTGCTACTTTTCAGCATAAGGCCTATCTATATTGAGAGACGATTCAGTTCTTGTCAATCATTCTAGTACCAACTGCTCAGGAACCTCATGACAGTATGTTACACATGATGGGACACATTTCACTATATGATCTGAAGCATCCTTTCCAGTTTCAGAATTTGGTTGCTCCATGTTCAAGTTCTAAAGTCCGTTGTCACTATAAAGTTATATATAGGCTTTGGTAAGACATGTTTGTTTATAGGAAGTACACCGTAAATCCACAAATAAGCAAACTGAACTGAGGCATGTAACTCTGCTGTTTTGAGTTTGGCTAGCACACACAAGAGCCTAGGCTCTATCACTGGTATTGAAGGGGAGAATCAATGGGTAAAAGGTGTTTGCCACCAAGCCTGGAGACCTGATTTTCATTCCTAAGCCCACACCATGGAAGGAGAGAAGCAGCTCCTCCAAATTGTCTTTTTACCTCCACATGTGTGTGACTATTCACATGAGCACATGTGTGTATATGTGCTTTCACACACATGTGCTCATATGGACATTCACAGAGAGAGAAAGAGAGAGAGAGAGAAACACACATACACACAAATACATGAATGAATGAATAATAATTCAAAGATAATCACGTTCCTGAGCTCTTAGCACTTACGCTTCCAGTTGCTGCCGGAAGTCCAGTGCCACAGGCTAGGGCTCATGCTGGCACATGGCCTAACAGTACTATAGCTGCCAGCATCACAGACAGCGTCACAGGGAGCTTTAGTGGGGTTCTGCTAGGAGTGGTCTTTTTGACAGCAAGGATATAAAGGTGATTAAGTTAAGACATCGGGAGCTTCTCAATCTTAAATTTACTCGTTTTTTAAAATTACATTTATTTATGTATGTATTTATGTATTTATGTATTTATGTATTTATTTATTTAATGTTCATGAACATATACATGTGTACAGAGAGTGCCTATGGAAGTCAGAGGATGATCTGACCTGTAAAGTTGATTTTCTCCTTCTATCATGAGGGTCCTGGGGATTGATGTCAGCTCTTTAGGTTTGGCAGTAAGGGTGCCAAAAATGTAAAATTTTTGGCATGTGGGCTATAAACAAAAGAATACTCTGAGAAAGGAAATGAAAGAAAATTCCAAATTCCTTCAACAGCCAAACCATCTAATCATTAGTTTCATTTTTATTTTTCAGACAGAGTGTATGCAGTGGACCTTGGCCTGGAATTCAGAGGTCTGCCTGCCTCCGGCTCCTGACTACTGAGATTAAAGGTGTGTTCCAACACGTCCTGTTGTACGATAGTTTTTAAAATAGAGCAGGTTTTAACAATATGTTCCCTTATGATTTCATTGTTAGTGTATTAAGAAAAGGCTTATAATAACAAAAATGCTTTAGAAATACAAATTAGTGTTTGTAGTGTCTGAGAAGGTGAAAATAAGATACGAGCAGCAAGGGGGCTGAATTACATGCAGGTTGAGGCCTTTGTCTTAAATTTTCGCTGCTTTGGTTTATTTGATTAGGCTGACTCTTGCAAGATGCACTATAAGGTATCATTTCACAAAACAAAGTATGATACCTCACAGTTATCATGGTTTTCATTATTGGTCTTTTCATCATACCCTAAAGAAATAAAAAAAAATTGTTTTTCGTATTTAGCGACAAAGCATGTGTGTTTGCTGTCGGTTGCTGCAGCCCTGGAGATACGGCTTACCTTTGCTTTCCCTTGAACCTGATGCCAGAGGGCAAACTGAATTTTACTAAACATCAACTCCCAAGTTGTTGGCCTTCTTTTGTTTGAACAGATTTTGTTTATGACAAGGTAGGAAAACTTGAGGACAGTGGGGTTAAAAAATTCATGAGAACACAGCAGGGCTGAGGATTTTTGGCTGTTTTCTTTGAAGTGGAACATTTTTTAAAATATTTGATGTTTTGTTCTAGTTGAGGTGAGTTTTAAAAATAGGTTTACTTATTGTATCATACTTCTCCTTATATAATAACTACCAGTTATATCCATGTTTGTTTTTATTTTTTTTATTCATTTGACATCCTGATCACAGTCCCCTTCCCTCCTCTTGCCTATCCATCCCACCCTTACAAATCCCTTCCCCTAGCGCCTCCTCCCCTTCTCTGAGGAGAAGGGGGCCCCACTTGGGTACCACCACACCCTGGGACATCAAGTCCCAGTAGGACTAAGCACATCCTCTTCCACTGAGGCCCAGCCAGGCAGTCCAGGTTGGGGATCCAATGGCAGGCAACAGAGTCAGAGATAGTACCTACTCCATTTGTTAGGGGACCCACATGAAGACCAAGCTGCGTATCTGCTCTAAATATGTAAGGGGTCTTGTTTGTTTTCTAATGACTGAATATTATTCTGTGGTGTATGTGGCCCACATTTTGTTTATCAATTTGTCAGATAATAAACGTTTTTTGTTTTTTTGTTTTGTTTATTTGTTTTTTACTTCTTGGCTAATTGTTTCCATGTTGTGCTAACTAAATATTTTAAATTAATAAATTTTGAAGTGATCTTTTAACCTATTGTAACAATATCTGTCTTCTAATCTGTTTAGGACACTTAAATTTAAAAGAATGCTGGGCATGGTGGTGTATGTCTTTTATCCCAGCACTCAGGAGGCAGAGGTAATGTGGATTTTTCTGTGTGTGAGACCAGTGTAGTCTATATAGAGAATTACTTGGCAGCCAGGACCACATAGTGAGACCCCCATCTCAAGAACAAAATTAAAATGAATACTAATAGAATTTGAGTAAGACATGTTAGCATATTTTTGACTCTTAATTCTGTTTCTTTTTCTTTTCTTTTTGTTTTTTTTTTGAAGCCAGAACCAGGTCTGTATTCGGTAGAGGGGAAGGGCAGAACTGCAGGTGCTAGCATAGGCTGCCAACTGCAGGGCCTCTGAGCACCCGAGGCCTGAAGTCCTTCATGTACTCTTGGTGCTTGTGTGTGCTTCCTGGTCTGGAACGTGGTCCTGCTGGGGCATGGCGACCACACTGACTAGACAGTGATGGAGGAGGCTGGCAGCCACCGGCCCAAGCTGGACTAAGCCTGTTGCATCCTTCTGGAGTTTCAGCCATTGTTGCCTCTGGACAACTCTCCCTGTGGCTGTGGGTGAGGTTCCCACTGCAATTAGAGATCTTCTCACGGTGGTGACTGGACTGAGGCTGGAGAAGGAGGCCAAAGGTCTGAGTCTTCATGATGCCCCAGTCCTTCCAACTGCTGGTCCTTCTAGTCCTGGAAGCCTGGCTCAGGGCCTTTCAGGTCTGGGCTGGAGCTTCTGCCCCAGCATTCGGGAGGCCTGCCTTGATCTGCAGGTGCTCCTAGGCCTCCTGTGGGGCATGCATTTGGCCTCTGCTCCTTCTGGCTCCTCTCCTTTCTCTGTGCAGGAGACTCCCCAGTGTGTTCTAGAGTCCTCTGGAGGTACTCTAGAGCGGATGTCAGCCTGGCGTATAGGTTCTGGGATCCAGAACCAACAGCAGTTGTGGGTGAGGCGCACAGCGACCTCCAGGCTTATTCTGTGGCCCACAGAGACTTAGAGGGGCTTGCTGCTATGGTCATGGCTCTTCAGGGCCATTCCCAGGACAGTTCCAGAGTTGTCTATCAAAGGAAATGTGTCCCCCCCAGCCTGCAGGAGCACAATCTTCTCCTTGTGCTCGGCATTGTTCTCCAGTCCATCCACCTGCAGCAGCTTCTTGGCCACCCCGATGCAGGACAGCTCTGTAAGGACGCCAAGGTGGCAGGCCACCCCGAAGCCGCGTTGGTGAAGCACCCTGTTTCCATCCATAAGAAGGACCTGGGGCATGAGGTCTGGTTCCTTCTCTTGCAGCTGCTGTACCAATTCCACCAGGAAAGGTACCTCTTGGAAAGCCAGGAAGCCTGACACATAGGGGGCCTTCAGGCCAACCATGCGGCTGTCCTCATACACCACACAATAAGTCCAGATTTCAAGAGACACGTGGAGATTTAAGAGGTGTTGATTTATTGACATGATGGCGGGTTTGGGTGGTGTCGAACTCTCCCCTCTGTTTATTTTTTCTGTTCCTATTTTCTTCCCATCTTATAGGTTGCATGAAAACTTTTAGAATTTCATTGTGATTTATCTGTACTATTATAGGATACATTTAATTAATACATTATAGAATGCAGTCAATTACACTATGCATATTATTGTCTCACACTCTGCTGACATTGACATTTTAAGTTATGACAAGTGGTATAGAATTCTTCCTTCCTTTAAGCCTGCTTAACTTTCTTTTATACATACATTTTTAAATGTCTCAGCTGCAGAAGGAGAGCATCATGTTAGATAGCATTTATTTTTTGAGGTTTCAACTCTCAAACATAATTTTGAAAACACATTAAGGAGGTTGGAGAGATGGCCCAGCAGTTAAGTGCTTACTGATCTTCATGAGGACCCGGTTCAGTTCTAAGACTCCACGTTGGTAAGCTCACAACCACCTGTAACTCCGGTTCTAGGGGACTGGACATTCTCTGGCCTCCCTCAGTGCACCTTGATGGGCACTAGGCACACACATGGGGCACAATGAACTCACACAAGTTCGCATACATACACATAAATAGAAATTAAACCGGCTGGGTCTGATGGTGAACGCCTTTAATCCCAGCACTCAGGAGGCAGAAGCAGGTGAATCTCTGTGAGTCTGAAGCCAGCCTGGTTTACAGAATGAGTTCCTATAGATACAAATTGAGGCTATATAGAGAAACCCTGTCTCAAAAAACCAAAATAATACTAATAGTAATAATAATGATAATAATAATAACATAAACCTTTAAAGGAATAGGGAAGATAGTCTATTCCACTCATTCTTTCTTTTACTCATTTCATTTTTTTTTAATCATAGGATGACATTATTCTTTTGACATTTTTAACAGTGTATCTGCACTTGAAAATTTCTCCTCAGTTCTGAAAGGATGTATTAATGAATGTATAATCTGTATCATCTTTATGTTTTCTCAATGTTTCAGGTTTCCCCTTAAAAAGAAAAACAAACAAACAAAATCACTATCATGTAAGCAGGACTATTATCCATGTATATGTGAATGTTCTGGTCCCTGTAAGCAGTTGTATGGGAAGTGATAGAACAAATAAAAGGTGATGGTAAACAGGCATTTTGAAAGGACCTAAATATTCAGGTATAATTTCCATGTAAAGGCACCAGGGTGACTGCTTTTAACTTATAACTATAAAGAAGCATGAGGATTTATTGTTTTATAAAATACATAGGGCTTTCACTGTGTTTGGTATAGTTTAGTTTATAAAATATATAAATAGGTGAAAAAGCATAAGGCCATTTAAGCACACTAGTGTGTAGGGGATCATAATTCACAAGAACAAATTAACGCCTTCTAAACCATCCTCGGCCTAAGCCCTGAGAAGCCAGTAAGGCAGAGATTAATTCACAATGTGTGCTACTGGATGACACTGGTCTAGGCTCAGAGGAGACTTTCCAAGAGAAACCCATGTTCAGTGCCTCAAAACCAACAGCTTCAGGCAAGAACCTCCTCAGAGAGCAAAGTGGGGTTTCTTTACTCAACCTTTAACCTTTGAGGTGGGGCCCTTAAACCAAAGGCTCCAGGCCACTATCTACTCAGAGTACAAAGTGGGTGTCCTTTACCTGGCCTTTGAAATTTGGCCCTTAAACCTTAAAAGAACAGCTCTGGGCCATGGTTTCAAAGTGCAAGGGGCTCAGAGAGGCGACTGGATTTAGCCCTTTACAGGACCTTTGAGACCTGTCTGTTTGCAAGTAGTCAGTGGGGGGTTGCCATCTCTTTCTTCCCAAAGCCTGAAGCAAAAGGGCAGAGCTGAACAGCTGCAGCTCTGGCGCCTCGCCTCGGGCTCCTTGGGGGTCTGAGGGGCAGGAGCAATTGAGGCTGACGTCAATTGAGGGTGGAACAGTGGAGGCTTCAGGGTCCCGGGAGCCCTAGGGCATAGCTTCAGGTAGCATAGGCTGAAGCCATGTGGCTGATTGAGCTGTTTCTGCAGCACGTGAGCAGGAGAGCACATGAGCACGTGAGCCAGGCCAATGGCGGTGACTGAGGCCCTCTCTCTCAACTGTGGCAGCTGCAGCCCTGTGTGGCCTGGCAGTGCGCGCAGCTCCTACGGTGCCTTCTGCAAGGGGCTCACACGCACGCTACTCACCTTCTTCGACCTGGCCTGGCGCCTGCGTGTGAACTTCCCCTACTTCTACATGGTGGCCTCCGTGATGCTCAACGTCCGCCTGCAGGTGCGGATCGAGTGAGCAAACGCCCTCCGCCGCTGCGGAGAGGGCCACCCGCTCCTTCCGCGCCACCCTGGTGGCCGCAGGAAGGACAGCGGGGCCGCACAGTGCCTCGAGACTGCGGCGGGGGGCGCAGGCGGCACGGCCCGGGCCTCTCCATTTTAGGTCTCTGCCGAGGGCCTAAGGAACCACATCCCATACCGCAAAAACCTTCACAGCCCAGCCCTTTCCCTCTGCATCCAGAAAATCACCAGAGTCTGGCAAACCTGTTGGTTGTCTCCCCATTGGCTGAAAGCGGGAGAGCCCAAAAGAAGGGATGCTGCTACCACAGGACTGGATTTACCAGGCCCTGTGCCTGAAGGTAGGCGACTACAGGTTGGAATGGGGGCAGGTAGGCATGTGGCCATGGCATCTAAATACCCAGACACCTGGTTTGTGGGAGTAGAGAATACAGCCGGACACACCTGCTGCCTAGCCAAGCTGGGAAACTAAAAGGGTAGGCTAGGATTTTCCAGATCCCTGGTAGTGGGATTCCTTGATCGGGTGAGGGGCATCGTGGAGGGTCAGCTCATCACCAGCACACAGACAGGGAGCCCCTCCCACCCACCTTCCAGGCATCCAGTGCCTTGTTATGCAGAGGACTCATGAGATGTCACCCTGAATGGGAGAGGATTGGGCCAGTGAGCTCCCAGGAAGGCCCTAGACAGTTAAGATTTATCCACCCATCTCTACCTAAGTCAGGCAAGCAGATAAAACGAACAGTTGTTTTTGAACCAATCACCAGGCCTGTCCCCTTCTTGGCAGGGAGGCCCAAGGATACTCTCTGCAGCTGTTCACGGCCCTTCCCAAACTGCCTCCAGCACTATTGGGGGTGGGGGCAGGGGACTGCACTCAGCCACTTCTTTCCCTAACCCTGTCTGAGGGCATCCCTGAGGCTCTGCATCTGCAGTAAGGGAAGAACAGGAAATACTTGGTTTAACCATCTCTTCCCCCACAAGCTACTTTCTCCCACCCTCCCTGTCTGCCCAGGCTCCCTGAAGGACCTGCAGTGACACTCCGGAGACCCAGAAGCCTGTGTACCAGCCATGAGCGGCATGGCTGCTGTGTTGCCACAGGATGTGGAGAAATAGGAAGGACTCCAGAAGCAGGCAGCTGCTCTCAGAATAGGGCAGAGAAGGGGAGTGCACAGGAGGCCAACTCTGAAGTCTCTCTTTCTTTCTCAGGCATTAGTCTTCCGGGTGATGGCTCACCCCTTTTCCAAACAGTTCAACTGGAATCCTAGAGGTGCCACTGCTCCTGTAGCAGCCTGGGGAGCAGCTGAGAGAAGAGTCTGCCTAGAAGAAGGACCTTTCTGCTGAGCCCACAGGGGTAAGGTGGCTCAGGTCTCCTGGTCTCTCCACAGAAAACATGCCAGTGTACCTTGGACACTGATATCTCCTAGCAACACGGTGAGGGAGATGTGTTCTCCCATCTCATGAACTCAATGGGGTTTAAGGAAGGGCCTGGGACTTGCCCTTGTTACACAGAGGACCCTGGGCTGGCATTCCTCCACCCTTTCTGCAGTTTCTTCATGACCTGGCAGGGCATTGGGGTTGGGAGGGAGTGGAGAGCTACCAGGGGTCATAGGGAGAAAGAGAGGCTATGAGATAGGGTAGCTAGGCATCTGTATTTCATTGGAGTGGTCTAGAAGACAGGTGAACAGTTCATTTTATAAATAGAGAGGGAGATTCAAGCATTTCCTAAAATGTCTAATCCCCCACCAGAGCCAAGCCCCCCACTTCTCTGGTGCTTGACCAAGGGTTCCTGAGCACTTGTGTCCTAAGTGGACTGCAGTGATGATGGCATTGTGGTTTATAGGGTCATGATGTCACTGGAAGGCTGTGGAGATGTGGGCTGAGACCCATGGTATGGCCTTGTTTCTCCGCTCCAGGCTTGCAGGCCTATCCCTGGCGTCACATGGGAAATCTCATCCAGATAAGCTGAGGACAGCCTGTCCAGGAGGCCCTATGTAGGCTAGAAGTTGTGATCTCTAAATGCCCAAGAATGGCCCAAGGGATACTTTTACGACTTATCCCATACTCCCCCAGCTCCTCTGGCACTGGGATCTCAAGGTCTACTCATTCCATTCCTGATACAGAAACCTTCAGCATGCGACCCAGCCCCAGGGACAGAGTGGCACAACTGGCCACTCAGAGTCAGGGACCCAGATGAAGGTCTCAGTTTGTCTCACCTAAAGGGCATAAACTGAAAGGGGGCTGCCACATGGCCTCTACTGCTCATCATAGGACAGGACCGATGGCTTCCTTCTCCCAAGTTTCACTAGTAGTCCATGTATGTATATTTGAATGCATGTGTGTGCTTGTATGTAAATATGTGTGAGGGGAATATTGTTATTGGATAGGGAGGAGAGCTCCTGGGAGTCCTCTGTTTTCCAAGTACAGGAAGGATCATGGACTACTAGGAGAAATGAGTATGAAGTCTGAGACCCCTTCCTCTTAGACCTTAGACTACAGGAAAGCCTGTCCCTGCCCATGCTCAGGCAAGGCTATGGTGTGAGATCAGAGGCACTGATATTGGGCTGGACTTTGGACCCAGTGGTGTCAGCCAGGAGGGGGCAGAGCTAAGACTCAGCATTGAGTTCATGTCCCATTCTGGTCCTGGTTAATCTGTGAGCTTCCGCTTTCCCATCCCCTTGGCTACACTTGTTCGTCCATGGTGCCCTCTCTGTATGATGTCATGGTGCACTTTATTTTCAGTCTGTATTGCAGGCAGTGGAGCGTCAAGAAATTCAGAGACTTAACCTGGATGACCTTACATTTCTGTGTGTGATGGGACTCTGAATGGCCATTGCTGTCTGGTCAGTGGTGTGGTTTCTGAAGTTGTCACATGTCGTTGTCTCCCAAAGGTAAAAGAAAATCTGCCCACCGAAGACTGCCTGGCTGCCTCCTGCTTTTGCTGAGTGTCATGCCATACCCAGGGTGGGGAAGTGGGTGGGACATGAGACATCAAGCTCCAAGCCAAGAGGGCAATCCAGAGCTGAGCAAGGAAACCCCTCTCCTTCAGAAACTTTTTCCACCAGATCACCTTTGATAGGACGACCACTCTCTGATCTCCCCCCCCCCCCTCTCTCTCTCTCTCTCTCTCTCTCTCTCTCTAAATGTGGAACTGTGGAGGCAGGTTCAGAAGGCTCCAGTTGGTCTCTTTCATACTGTTCAGAGAAAGAAAGTGAATCAAAGGCTTCTCTATCATTCTAGGTCTGGAGTCAAGGAGTTGAATGCAAGTTGACCTTCAAGAGTAAGGGGAAGCGAAACACATCTCCACAGGCCACTGTGTGCAGCCCAGAGTCCGCAGTAGTAAGTGGTAATGTCGTCAGTGCCCTCTGGCAGACAGCTTGTTGGAGACTGCTGAGGAGATAAAGCACCCAGCAGGTGCTGGAGTTGGATGCCTGCTTTTCTTTCCTGGCCTTAGCTCTAGGCTCTCAGAGCTCCATTAGAGATTACCAGAAAAGCCAGGAACTCCAGGGCTGAGGTAAGGTGTGGCTTAGTTAGAGGGCAGGAGGCTCAATGGGATGGAGGCCAGAGGAAGACTGAAACAAGGCTGTAAAGAGAGTCCCCTCAGCAGGGAAGCAGGAAGTAGGAAGGCAGCAAACTGGGAAGGGAGAAAAAACTTGTGAGAATTACAGGAAACCATCAAGAAGGGCGTGAAGCAAAAATTCATTGTGGGAGACAGGAGTGAGTCCGGAGATTTTTCTGGGAGGGTAGAATCATGAGGAGCAGGCCTGGAGGCCAGGGCGTATTAGAGCAGTCTGTAAGCTCAGGGGAACTGTAGACCCCTTGGAAGGTAGAGGTCTCCGAAAAAAGACAAAAATCCTGAAGTGATGGACGTGAGCTTCTTGGGGGACAACAGGAGGCTGGGGTGGGGGTGGGGGTGGAAAGGCTGCAGAGGAAGGCAGAAGAAAGAGAAGAAGGCAGGAAGCTCAAGGGAAATCTAAGATTCTGGGGAGGGTGACAGCAGGCTGGGGACATGATAGAATAAGGGGATAATGTGAGGATATAAAAAGGGCAGGAGCCTTGAGGAGAGGTTACATTGTGAAGTAGGCAGGAGGCTCATAGAGTGGAGGTGGAGGCTAGAGAGGCAGGCCGCAGGCTCAGGGGGAAGTCAGGGATGACAGGGGTATCTGGAGTAGGACAGGTTTACAGGAGGCCCAGATTAAAGAAGAGTGCAAGACCCTCAGGAAAGGAGAATACCTCAGCCAGGAGACAGGATCAGAAGAGAGTATGAATCTGCTAACAGCATGAGCCGAGAAAGGCTCTAGGGATGGAGGCATAGCATGAGGCTGATCAGGAAAAGGAATGACCTGGGGCTTGTGAGGGCAGCAGGCTGAGGAGGCAGAGTGTCATGGAGGGTATGAGACTGGATTGGGGTACTAGGAAAAGGTCCGGGGCAGGGAAGCAATGAGGATAAAACCGAGGAGTCTGCTGGAAAGACAGCAGGAAACAGAGAAGCCACTGAGGAGAGGTGGCATAGGAGAGGTGACCAAAGGCTGAAGAGAACCAAAGGCTTTGGAGAAGGGCACAAGGGCAAAGAGGGCAAAACACAGGAAGGATGTGAGAGTCAGAAGGCTAGGTGAGAGAGGATTAGGAGACTCAGGCTTATGGAGGAGGTAAGGCCTGATGTTGGTGAGGACAGTCCTTAGATGGCAGGAGAAGAGCAAATGGTGGCTGAAGAGGGCAGGAGGTTCTGGGACAGTCATGAGTGTATGGAAGGGTTTAAGTCTACTGAGAAGAGCAGGAGAGTCATGGGGGAGGGGTGAAGAAGGACAGAAGGCTGAGGCAGTGTGCCTGAGGCTAGGGAGTGGGGTTGGAGTCTGAGGAAGGGCAGAAGTAAGGGGGTGGATCCTACCAGGAAGCAGAAGGCTGGGGAGGGACAGGGATAGAGTAGAAAGGTGACTATGGCCAGAGGCCCATAGAAGCAGAAGGGTCTGTTTGACCCAGAAGGCAGAAGAGGAGGGCAGCAGGCTC